ATCTGTTGGTCGCCACCCCCTGGCCGTCGAACAATAATTTTTCTAATATGGCATATTTATCGGCCACAATACAGACGGAAGGTTAAACACATAATGTATATGTATATAATCTATTCGTTATTTGTGTGAATTCTACCTATGGCTGAAAGTCTGAACAGTATTATTGCAAAAAAATTAAAATGCAAAAATTGCTATAAACTGTTTGTTGAACCTATCCGCACTAAACTCTAGTACATTAAAGGCAACATGGACTTAATTATCAATAATACTGTACATTAGGCTGATAAATATTTTATTACAATTATACAATGTTGATAACTTATCAATGATAAGTCTATCAAATTCTACGAAACGCTTAGTGCAAATAAATTGTTTTATTAAACATGTGATATAACAATGGCATAACATTGAAATTTATTAATACTTAATAATATTAAGTTAATAATATTTACTCAACGTGTTATATCTTATAATAACTTATTAATAAGTTATCAAATAATTATTTTAGTTATTGATTAATTCAGTATTTAAATATCTTACTATTATTAAATACAATATTATTATTTTTGGTTAAAGGTAATTTGTAATTGTAATACAGTCTATTAATACTTATAAATTTACCATCTATTACAGTTTATTACGTTTAAAATTTAATGACAACTGTATTTAATAATGTAAATACTTATTGTTAAATTAGAGAATTTAAATATTTTAATACAATTATAATAAATAACCACATTAAAAGTTGTAAATTCTAACGTTATTATTTTTGAGACATATAAGCAGTCAATGAGAGATTTAATTTTCGTCTCAAACATATAAAATAATTATGAACATGATTATAGTATCATTAATTGCACATAAATGGTACAATAAACACATACTGTATCTCTTTAAACTGTAATGCATTTGTTTTTAATTAAACATTATCATCTGTATTTGATTATAGTTAGTAATAATGTTTGTGTTTTAGACAACATATATTTTTCTACATAAGCCTCAATTTTAATTATGTTTAATATTAATTTAATTACTATAATAATTATATGCATTTCTCAATATATGCTGTCATGTGATTATTAATTGGACAAAACAATGTACGGCAGAGACAGTCTTGACAGATATGGCGATGACTTGTGTCAAGTCTTGTTGTCTTACCTCTCGTTTGACCAGAAATTTAAATACGAAAGCGTTTGCAAACAATGGCAACGATTGATATACAATAGCCAGACATCACTTGTGTTTAACAAACAATTATACGTGTGTTTAACGGCTAATCCGGCCATTAATTTGCCGGCGTTTAAGTGTATCGTTAAAAAGTGTCCAAACATTCAACACATAGACTACTCGTACGGATTACTGTCCAACGAAATGCTGGATTTAATCTGTGTTTACGGCAAACACTTGACGGCCATTGAGTTGCGGAGACGGCTGGACATCAGTGCTCATAAAATGGAGGCCTTTTTCGCACGGTTTGGCCCACAATTGAAATGTGTCCGCAATATCGACACCTACTATAACCCCATTAAAGGTAATCCGGTGGAGAAACACCTGCACCGGTGCCCCAATGCCCGGCAAATCAGTGTCTACTCCTTGAGCACTGACTCTGGTCAGCACATCTCAACCATGTTTGGATTAAACAATACTTTATTGTTCAAAATGCTTCAAAAAATAACCATCACTTGTTTCGATGCCAACTCTGTGCCAGCCTTTCACACATTTGCCCTCCACTACAAGAATACCATGAAATCAGTTTCGGTGACAATTGGCGAGCGATGCGATGATAAGTCACTCGTAATACTAGTGAATGGTTTGCGGGAAATGCGAGCATTAAAGGCCATACATCTAGATTGTCGGCAAAGGGTATGGTTTAGTGTGTTAGTGACGGCCCAGTTATCACGTACGAAATGGCCGCACACCCAGAGACTTGCGCTGGACGTGGATCTCATATCGAGAGACAGTTTTTGTCAATTAATTTTAACAATTAATCAAAACTTTGCGCCCATAAGACGGCTCAGAATCGGCGGTAATATTCCCGTAACGTTTGTATTGTGCGCTCAATCGTTGGACAATTGCCGATGTTTAACACATCTGACCATTAGATGCAATGGATTTTGTATTAATCGCACATTTTTCGATAAAATAACATTAAATTTTCCGTCTCTTCGGGCCATTAATTTATCGGCGCTTACAATAACTGCCGATGCGATCAAAGGGGCGCAGAGTTTGCCCAAATTAACTCACTTTGCATTTTAGTGTTTATTTCTTCGGTGCCGTCAATATATTTATTAAGTACTTTATTAATTATTTAACTAGTTTTAAACAAAATTCACTGTAAACATGATTTACAAAATGACTCTATTTATTAAATTAAATATTTAAAAAGTTTCATAAAGTTTGAATTAGCAATAATTATTTAACATGTTTGTAATATTGCATAATTTTATATTAATTTACATAATTATATTTTTATAAACATTAAAAATACAGTTAAATGTTTATTTTGAATAAAACATATGGACAAAAAATGCTTGAATTCTTAATCCAAATTATTATTTAGCATTATAATAATGTTGGATTTATACATATTTATTGCAATCATAGTTTTATGGATGTTAATTGTGTTTTGGGCCACAATTAAACACTTGTTAATTATATATTTCCCAAAACAAAACCATAACAACAATACATGCGATAAAATGTTGAATTGTTTTTCTCTAATCACTAATTATTGTGAATCTATTCGTGTGAACGACGGGTCGTTGACGGGAAATGCGGACAAAACCAGCGGTCAGTTTATAGATGGGTATAATGTATTGGACGGCATCCGAGTGCTGGTCAATTTTAATATATTGGTGGCGCATATTATTAATTGTTTAGTGTATCGGAACAATATTTTATTCAACGATCACCGATATTTGTAAGCATATTTTGTAATAATCTAGTTATAAATACAAACATATCTCAATAGTAAAACATTATAATTATAAAAATTAGTATGAAAAATAGTATTTAAGTTAAAAATTAGGAAAATTATAATTATATAACACTCTTATTGTTTATTAATTTATTTAAAAGTGGTAGAAATTAACTTGGGGATTTTTTAAACAGGTTCTTGGCCTTTTTTCCCCTAAGAATATTTATGGGAATTTCATTTATGGCCAACGGATTCGCATCAATGAAATGGTTTACACGACAACTGATGAATAAAAACGTGGATTTTAATGACAACAAAAAAGTTTTCAAACTAACCATAAAATACTATTTCGATAGAATTACACGAATTGTTCCCATATTTTACTTCTTTATATATTTTTATGTAATTTATGTCAATTATTTAGTTTCCGATCGATATTATGACAAACAAGTGATAGACATTTGTGCCGGTAATTGGTTTTTTAGCCTTTTATTTATTAGCAATTATGTCAACCAAATGGTAATAATTTTTTATGCATAATAATTGATTATTTATAACAATTATATTTATTGTTAATTATAAATTACAATATTAATTTCATAGTGCATGTATCTAACATGGTCAATATTTGTATTGGTGCAACTGGTCATAGTCACTCCACCATTTATCATACTGTTATCCAGGTTAATTAAATTAACAAACATATTAACTCAGCACGATTATAATAGTTCTGTTAATTAATAATATTAAATAATTTTATTTAAGGCATTTTAAAGCAAGAATTGTGACTATAATTGCATGCAATATATTGCTGTCAATAAACATATTTTACACAATGTATTCAAATGGTATCACAACTGAAACAATGGAAAGCTGTGGAAATTTTACTAACAATCCCTGGACTATAATAGTGTTAGTTATCATATAATTTATTTATATACAAATCAAGAATTTAATTAACTATTTTTAAATATCAGGGAAGACAAATCATCAAGTGCGTTACTTTATATAAAGCCTGTGAGTTACGCCGCAACGTATCTAAACGGGATGATATTATATTGTTTAATACATCATGGTCATTCGCTGACCATATACAAAAGCAGATTAGCTCATAAAACAGTGCAATTATTATCACTTCTGGTTGTATTAAACCTTATAATCGGAGCCCTTAGAGGGTCGGCACTGTTGGGTGAGCTCCCGGTGTTCAGCGCTTGGGAGAGGTGTTCAACCGATTTGTACACTTCGTTGGTCTCATGTTATGCCGTAATCTATGGTCACGAAAGTCGGGGCCGTTTGACGCGATTCCTGTCCTCCAGATATTGGCGTCCATTCCGTGCTTCACAACAGACTTCATACCTCTTTCATGGTTTGGTTTTGTTAATAGTGTTGTCTTTTATGCCCAAAGAGTACACAATAAACTCAGTGGTTATATATGGGATCGTATTATTTGGTGCCAATTATATTGTGACGATTCCGTTGGCGCTGGTGTTTGAATTACCGGCAATTAAATTGCAACAAATGTTTTCAAATTATTTGTTTGTAACAAAAATACCACAACATAATAAAATTAAGTCAAACTAATATAAAATTGTATAAGAATTTATAAGAATTAATTTCTCGATTGTTTATATTTATTTGTTAATATTTTACATTTATTAAGTTAACATTTGTTAAATTATAAATTTTATATTCAAAATTGTATTTATATATTATTTGAATTTAACTATAATTAAAATAGTAATTACTTGTGTTTTAATAATATTTTATAATCATATGGATTGTAAGCATCAGTTTTATTGGGATCGACTTCAATGCCGTTATGGCTGTCGAGGACTAACTCATAGTCTTGTGTGGACTGAAGGAATCGGACCAAAACCAGGAATAGGTTAGCGATGGCTAACTTCTCACCTAAACAGACCCGACGGCCCACACCGAAGGGTATGTAGGCTTTAGGTCTGGTAGATATGAACTTTCCCTCACTGTCAAGAAATCTATCCGGGCTAAATATATCTGAGTTTTGCCAATCTTTGTCATTACGGCATATGATTCCCTGGTATACAATAATTCGCGTTTTTTCAGGTATTGTGTGGTCACCTAAAAGCAGTTTTAAAATATATTTTACAAATATTATTTTTAAAATTCTATATAAAATATACCAATAGCACTTTTGACAACAGCCTTATGGGGCACTCCCTGTGGGACTACATTTCTGGCCCGCAGTGTTTCAGCGATGAAAGCCATTATATAATGGCATCGATTCCTGTCCTCATGTGTTGGCATTCGGTCTCCGATTTGGGACTCAATCTCTTGTCTCAACTTCTGCTGTATTTCCGGATAGTATGTCATCAGAAGTAGAATCCATTGGAATGTCAGTTGAGAGGTATCGGTTCCGGCGAAGAACATATCTAAGACAGTCATAGAAAGGTTGGCGTCCGTGAGATAAGGGGCCGACTCTTTGCCGTCTCTGAGGGCGTCATTCTTAGCACTGATGAGTGCATCGCAAAAGTCTCTCTCAATTGACTCGTTATAGTCGTCGTAATGTTTAGTCAAATTATTTCGAGACATAGCCATCAACTCTCCGATAAGGCTTTGATGTTTTTGAACTAATTTTTTGTCTAATAATCTAATTATTAGTGAAAATTCCCATAAGAAGAAACGACTGCCGACTTCTGTCCCGAAGTCACTCAAAGCGTATTTAAGAAATTTAAATTCCTTGTCTTCAAAGTCGTAACTAAATATAATTTTGAATTAAATAATTAACATAAAATTGAGTGTATAAATAATATAACAAACCTAATACCAAAAGCACTGGTGGCCAAAATGTTTAGAAATAACAAATAGATATAATCTTTTGGATCAAAAGCATTGCCCACTCCTTCCCTCTCTAACATTACTTTAACCGTACGATCGACTGAATCGGTGGCCACAGAAACTAGTCTTTCATTTGTTGAATATTTTCTAATTTAATAAATGGTAAGACAATACATAAATATAATTCTCAAATTAATAACTTTCTAAAATCAAAACATACTGTACGGCCGAATGTGCCACTCGTCTCAATGCCTCCCATTTGTGGCCGTAATCGGCAAATATTACGTCCGAGTGCTTATCGTTTGAAAATATACGAGCTATTCGAGATAGAGATAGTTATACGATATATTAGATAGCTGCAATTTTGTTAAATAATTTATATTTAACTAAAACCATTTTTTAAAAGCACATTTACCGAGATATGACATGTCTCTGCCGGCAAAATCATTTTTCCTGTACGCCTCTCTGGCCGTCTCGTTGTCCGTCACGACCACTAGTGGTCTATTGAAGAACCAAAAGGTGAATACCGGGCCGTATTGTTTGGCCAGTTCTCTGAACACTACATCCCAATGATCTTTATCCTGTACGCCTCTCTGGCCGTCTCGTTGTCCGTCACGACCACTAGTGGTCTATTGAAGAACCAAAAGGTGAATACCGGGCCGTATTGTTTGGCCAGTTCTCTGAACACTACATCCCAATGATCTTTCCGTCGGAATACTGTTTAAAAGTTTTAAATATTAAATTAATGTTTTATTTTAAATCATTTACTCACATAAAATATTGCCCACTATTGGCAACGGGTTTGGGCCGGGAGGCAGTTGCGACCTTAAATAATAGAACCTTGCTAATTTATAAACAATATAGCCTATAATTAGGGTTATTATAGTTGTGGGAATATTTGCGACTAATGATGATATTAGTTTTGTTAATAATGACATTTTTACATTCACCGGTTAACTAAAGCAACATTAAATATTGAAATGGTAAAATCAATTATAAACTAAAAATAAAACAATCGCTACTTTTATACAAATTTTTTTAAATTATAACTCAAGGTCGTAGCAATTAGATAATGTTGTGATGTGTAAATCATATTAACAAAATATGATTAAAAAACTTTAAGTACAATTAGTAATATTTTTAATAGCTAGAGATACAGTAAAAACAATTTTAATTACAAATAAATCCACATTAAATTAATTAATTACTTTTTAAATATAACCCGCTATAAAAATATATACTAAATATTTATTATTTTATTTAATAAAATTTAAATTTTGTGTTAAATAAAGATATATTTATATCATGTTCATAACTTTATATTAAACATTATTGTATTGTAATTCTTATGCACATTACATGAGTCCTTCAGTACATTAAAGAGCATAATTATCAATAATTGATAATGGTGATAAATACTTTAGTTCAATATTAAAATAAGTTTCTTAATAAATCTTTCCGTTAAAAGTTTAGTGTTTAATACATATACGGAATTTGATTTCATTACAGTATATATATGTATATTACTTAAATTATACCAGGAAGATATTTCCAGTTCTGATACGTATTGCTATGAATGTGTAGAGCGTAGCCACGAGTTAAATATTTCTGTGTCGGGTTATGCCAATGGCCACAAACAACCGAGTTATGGCAACATTTATTGTCAATTACATACATAGTATGCATTAAAAATTGGTGATTCGCATGTGTCATATCATTTAGCAAAATATTAATTAATCAATATTGAAATCAACTTAACAATTAATACGAAAAATACTTGAAATTAATTATTTGTGTTTTAATGCAATTTTATATTAGCAAAAATTTAAATAGTTTTAAAACTTTTCTGTTATTAAAAATTTTATATTAATTATTTATTGTAATATGTTAATATTTTAGATTCATTAAATTAACACATGTTACTTAAATAATTTTGTACTCAAAATTGTATTTAATATATTGATTTTATATCTAATTACAATAATAATTACAATAAATAATTAAAATAATAAATAATTAAAATAATAAATAACATGGCTATTTATTATTGTAATTATTTTTGTTTTAATGTTATTTTATAATCGCACGGATTGTAGGCTTCGCTTATATTAGGATCGGCTTCAATACCGTTATGGCTGTCGAGGACTAACTCATAGTCTTGTGTGGACTGAAGGAATCGGACCAAAACCAAAAACAGGTCAGCGATGGCTAATTTCTCTCCCGCACAGACACGACGGCCCACACCGAAGGGTATATAGGCTTTAGGTTTGGTAACCAAATACTGTCCCTCACTGTCCAAAAACCTCTCGGGTTTGAATATTTCTGCGTTTTGCCAATCCTTGTCATTACGACATATGATTCCCTGATATACAAGAATTTGCATTTTTTCAGGAATTGTGTAATCACCTAAAAAGAGTTTTTTAAAAATTACTTTTAATTCTTTTTTAAATATAATTGATTCTATTTTTCTATGCTTACCGATAGTGCTCCTGACAATAGCCTTATGGGGCAAACCCTGGGGTACGATATTTCGGAATCTAAGAGACTCTGCGATGAAAGCCATGACATAATGGCATCGATTCCTGTCCTCATGTGTTGGCATTCGGTCTCCGATTTGGGACTCAATCTCTTGTCTCAACTTTTGATGCATTTCCGGATAATATGTCATCAGAAGTAAAATCCATTGAAATGTCTGCTGAGATGTATCGGCTCCGGCGAAGAACAGATCCAATACAGTCATCCCGAGGTTGGCGTCCGTGAGATAAGGGGCCGACTCTTTGCCGTCTCTGAGGGCGTCATTCTTAGCACTGATGAGTGCATCGCAAAAGTCTCTCTCAATTGACTCGTTATAGTCTTCATAATGTTTTACAAACTTATCCTTAATTAATGCAATGAATTCATTGACGAGTCTATCATTTTTCTGAACCATTTTTCGGTCTAAAAATCTAATTATTGACGAGAATTCCCATAAGAAGGCTCGAGCGCCGAGTTCTTTGCCAAAGTCTTTCAATGCATATTTTAGAAATTTAAATTCTTTGTCTTCGAAATCATAACTAAATAATAATTTCAAACAATATATTAATAATATGTAATGTAATTCATATATTTAATAAAACAAACCTAATGCCAAAAGCACTGGTGGCTAATATGTTGAGAAACATTAGATAGATATAACTTTTGGGATCAAAAGCATTGCCGACTCCTTCCTTCTCTAACATGGTTTTAACCGTACGATCGACTGAATCGGTGGCCACAGAGACTAGTCTTTCATTTATTGAATATTTCCTATTTATTTAATTGATTTAATATAACATAATTTTATTTAACTTATATATAACTTCGTAACAAATGATACATACTGTACGGCCGAATGTGCCACTCGTCTCAACGCCTCCCACGTGTGCCCGTAATCGGTAAATATTACATCCGATTGCTTATCATTTGAAAATTGACCAGCTAATAGTAATAATAGTTATTTAATTTATCATATAGTTGAATCCTATTTTATCAAATTTTATTTAAACAAGACCATGTTTATAAAATAATTACCAATATTAGACATATCTCTGCCGGCGAAGTCATTCTTCCGGAAGGCCTCTCTGGCCGTCTCGATGTCCGTCACGACCACTAGTGGTCTATTGAAGAACCAAAAGGTGAATATTGGGCCATATTTTTTGGTCAGTTCTCTGAACACTACATCCCAATGTTCTTTCCGTCGGAATACTGTTTAAAAGTATAACTTTATAAATAATTATTTATTTGTTTTATTTTAGTTACTCACGCAAAATATTGCCCACGATTGGCCACGGATTTGGACCCGGAGGTAATTTCGACCGGAAATGATAAAACCTTGCTAATTTATATGCTATATAGCCTATAATTAAGGTTAATATAGTGGTGCGAATATCCGCCACTAATAGCGAGATCAACTTTGTTAACATGGACATTTTTACATTCAAATATTAAATACAATATGAATTATCTGAATATAACTGAATAACTGAACTAACTATTGTAATGGTAAAAACAACTATAAACTAATATTTTTGACTCTCGCTTCTTTTATACACATTTTAATCTCCGAAGGTTACGACAATTATGTTATTACGTTAGTACATTAGAGACAGTGAGAACCTTAGTGCCTTAAGTGCAAAATTATCAATAATTAATAATAGTGATAAGTGTTGTATTTCGTTCATAATATAAGTGTGTTGACAACATTTTCGGTTAACTGGTTAATGCCTAACATATATCCGGAATTCGATTTCGTTTTATTTGATAAAATTTATATAAATATACAAAACATCAACAGTAAGAAACACTAATTCAAACTAATTGAATAATATTTATGATAATACTAATAGAAATAAATACAATGTAAATGAAATGTAATGCACATCTTATTGTTGTCTATAAAATTTTAAAATTAATAATACTAATAAAAATGTGTTTATGGTTCTAATATTATTTTGTCTAATATTACATTTAAGTTAATGACAGGTAAACTACTACATTTACTGTATTCTACTATATTCTGTATACTGTATTCTGTTTTACATTAAAGTATTGTTAATACTGAATGACTTTACATTAAATAAATAAATATTTTCTTAAAATCTTACCAATAATTGAAAATCAATTATAATTAATTATTTTGGTTTTAATGCTATTTTATAACTACACGGATAATAAGAATCGGCGACATTAGGATCGACTTCAATGCCGTTATGGCTGTCGAGGACTAACTCATAGTCTTGTGTGGACTGAAGGAATCGGACCAAAACCAGGAATAAGTTAGCGATGGCTAACCTCTCACCCAAACAAACACGACGGCCCACACCGAAGGGTATATAGGCCTGAGGTTTGGTTACTAAATACTGTCCCTCACTGTCCAAAAACCTCTCGGGTTTGAATATTTCTGCGTTTTGCCAATCCTTGTCATTACGACATATAATTCCCTGATATACAAGAATTCCCATCTTCTCAGGTATTGTATAATCGCCTAAAAGAAGTTTAAAAAATATCTTTTACTTAAATTATTTTCATATTTAATATATAATTATTACCGATAGTACTCCTAACCATAGCCTTATGGGGCAAACCTTGGGGTACGATATTTCTGAATCGAAGAGACTCTGCGATGAAAGCCATGACATAATGGCATCGATTCCTGTCCTCATGTGTTGGCATTCGGTCTCCGATTTGGGCAATATTTTGCGTGAGTAACTAAAATAAAACAAATAAATAATTATTTATAAAGTTATACTTTTAAACAGTATTAGTATTGTAAAAATATTTTCAATCGAATTTCAATTCAATTTTTTAAGCAAATTAACTTGTTTTTATAAATACTCGTGTATTATTTCAGGCATTTCCGGATAGTATGTCATCAGAAGTAAAAGCCATTGAAATGTCTGCTGAGAGGTATCGGTTCCGGCGAAGAACATGTCAAAGATAGTCATCGAAAGGTTGTCATCGGTCAGATAGGGTGCGGACTCTTTGCCGTCTCTGAGGGCGTCATTCTTAGCACTGATGAGTGCATCGCAAAAGTCTCTCTCAATTGACTCGTTATAGTCGTCGTAATGTTTGGTAAACTTATCCTTAATTAAAGTTAAAAATTTTTCGACAAGTTTTTCATTTTTCTGAACCATTTTTCTGTCCAATAATCTAATTATTGACGAGAATTCCCATAGAAAAGCTCGACCGCCGAGTTCTTGGCCGAAGTCTTTTAAAACATATTTAATAAATTTAAATTCTTTGTCTTCAAATTCATAACTAAATTATTAACAAAAAAATTAATTCAAATAATAGTCAATACATATTTAATACAAACCTCTGCCCGAAAGCACTCGTGGCTAATATGTTTAGAAACAACAAAAGGACATAATTCTTGGGATCAAAAGCATAGCCCACTCCTTCCCTCTCTAACATTGCATTAACCGTACGATCGACAGAATCGGTGGCCACAGAGACGAGCTTTTCATTTATTGAATATTTTCTGTTTAAATAAATTTACAAAAAAATTTTTAAATATAATCTAAAAACCGAGACATACTGTGCGGCCGAATGTGCCACTCGTCTCAACGCCTCCCATCTGTGCCCGTAATCAGCAAATGCCACGTCTGAGCGCTTCTCATTGGCAAACATACTCGCTATTTAACATAGATGTGATTTTGTCAAACATTAAATCTTATTTCAATCCAAATTATAAACATATTTACCGATATATGACAGGTCTCTGCCGGCGAAGTCATTCTTCCGGAAGGCCTCTCTGGCCATCACTATATCCGTCACAACAACTTGTGGTCTATTGAAGAACCAAAAGGTGAATACCGGGCCGTATTGTTTGGCCAGTTCTCTGAACACTACATCCCAATGATCTTTCCGCTTGAATACTGTTTAAAAAGTTAAAAGATTTTGAATAAATATTAATTAGTTTTAGTTATCATTCAATACTCACGTAAAATATTGCCCACGAGTGGCAACGGATGCGGTCCGGGAGGCAGTTTGGACCGTAAGTGATAGAACCTTGCTAATTTATATGCAATATAGCCTATTATTAGGGTTATTATAGTTGTACTGATATTAGCCATTAATAATGATATTAATTTTGTTAATAATGACATTTTTACTTTTAGTTATTTAAACACAATTAAATAATGTGCCAAGTGACATTTAACATTAACTGTAAACAGTGTTGGTAAACACAACTAGTGCTAAAATATGGCGACATCTACTGTTTATACATAATTCAATTTTCCTAGATCAAATAAATTATTTATGCTTTCTGTTCTAAGTTAGTAAGTCAATATTACAATTGGTGAGTGCCCTTGATGATAAAACTACATTTACCATGTTTTAATTATTAAAATTTAATTATATTATATAGTTTTATAACATTAAATCCTTACAAAAATACAAATTACATTTATTGTAAAAATCTAAGTAATTTCAGTTAAAAGTTATGAAATACATAATTATTTTAATAAAATGGTGAGAATTTATTATTTCTTTTTTAATGCAATTTTATAATCACACGGATTGAAGGCATCCGAAACATTAGGATCGGCTTCAATGCCGTTATGGCTGTCGAGGACTAACTCATAGTCTTGTGTGGACTGAAGAAATCGGACCAAAACCAGGAACAGGTCAGCGATGGCTAACTTCTCTCCCAAACAGACCCGACGGCCCACACCGAAGGGTATGTAGGCTTTAGGTTTGGTAACTAAATACTGTCCCTCACTGTCCAAAAACCTCTCGGGTTTGAATATTTCTGCGTTTTGCCAATCCTTGTCATTACGACATATGATTCCCTGGTATACAAGAATTTGCATTTTTTCAGGTATCGTATAATTGCCTAAAATTAGTTTCAAAAATTAGTTTAAATTATTTAAAAAATATATCTATATTTTACTGATAGTACTCCTGACAATTGCCTTATGGGGCAAACCCTGGGGTACGATATTTCGGAATCTAAGAGATTCTGCGATGAAAGCCATTATATAATGGCATCGATTCCTGTCCTCATGTGTTGGCATTCGGTCTCCGATTTGGGACTCAATCTCTTGTCTCAACTTCTGCTGCATTTCCGGATAGTATGTCATCAGAAGTAGAATCCATTGAAATGTCTGCTGAGAGGTATCGGTTCCGGCGAAGAACAGATCCAATACAGTCATCCCGAGGTTGGCGTCCGTGAGATAAGGGGCCGACTCTTTGCCGTCTCTGAGGGCGTCATTCTTAGCACTGATGAGTGGGCTATGCTTTTGATCCCAAGAATTATGTCCTTTTGTTGTTTCTAAACATATTAGCCACGAGTGCTTTCGGGCAGAGGTTTGTATTTAATATGACCAATACAGTCATCCCGAGGTTGGCGTCCGTGAGATAAGGGGCCGACTCTTTGCCGTCTCTGAGGGCGTCATTCTTAGCACTGATGAGTGCATCGCAAAAGTCTCTCTCAATTGACTCGTTATAGTCGTCATAATGTTTGGTAAACTTATCCTTAACTAAAGCAATTAACTCATTAGCAAGGTCTTTATTTTTGTTAACCAGCTTTCGATCTAAAAATCTCATTATTGGTGAGAATTCCCATAAGAATACTCGACCGCCGAGTTCTTGTCCGAAGTCTTTTAACACATACTTAAGAAATTTGAATTCTTTGTCTTCAAATTCATAACTATATAAATATTTAAAATCATATTTACTTTATTCATCTTTAATATATACTATCAAATAAATGCAAACCTAATGCCAAAAGCACTGGTGGCTAATATGTTGAGAAACATTAGATAGATATAACTCCGGGGATCAAAAGCATTGCCCACTTCTTCCCTCTCTAACATGGCTTTAACCGTACGATCGACTGAATCGGTGGCCACAGAGACTAGCCTTTCATTTATTGAATATTTTCTGTTTAATAAATTAAAATAAAAATATAATTACTATAATAACCAACATTGTAAAATCGCTACATACTGTACGGCCGAATGTGCCACTCGCCTCAACGCTTCCCATCTGTGCCCATAATCGGAAAATATCACGTCTGAGTGCTTATCATTAGACAATAGACTCGCTGTTTAACAAATTTTTTAATTGAATTATTTCATAATTATGTTTATATTATAAACAAATATTTACCAATAAATACTATGTCTCTGCCGGCGAAGTCATTCTTCCGGAAGGCCTCTCTGGCCAACTCTATGTCCGTCACAACAACTAATGGTCTATTAAAGAACCAAAAAGTAAATATCGGGCCGTATTGTTTGGCCAGTTCTCTGAACACTACATCCCAATGATCTTTTCGTTTGAATACTGTTTAAAATTTTTAATTTTAATTAATTAATAATTATTTTATTAATCAATATATACTCACATAAAATGTTGCCTAAAAGTGGCAAAGGGTTTGGCCCGGGAGGTAGTTTAGATCGGAAATAATAAAATCTTGCTAATTTATATGCAATGTAACTTATTATTAAAGTTATTATTGTAGTTTGAATATCCGCTATTAATAGTGATAGTATCGTTGTTAACATGGACATTTTTGTAATTAAATATTTTGTATTATATCTGGTAATATGCGATGAGATTTAACGTATTAGAGAATTATTTTGATTTAAAAATTAGATATTTAATAATGACAGGCAATTACAGCATTTTATACAAAATTTAACAATATCTTCAAGGTCACATCGATTATATTATTTTTATTTCATTTCAACGTGATTGTAAACAATACAAAGTTTCCACATAAAGATAATATTGTACAAAGTTAGATTAGGTAAAACACTTTAAAATTGTTTCTGCATCACAATAATTTGCATTTAGTTAATTGAGAAACTTTTCTAAGTCATATAATAAAATCATATTTACAGTTTAAGTATTTTTAAAATGCCTATGATATTTATTCAAAGCATTGTAGTAACTGTTATCTGATAATAAACTGTAGAATAAATATATAAAACATCCTTGTAATTATTTGGTGAGACTATGCACTTCCCTTTAGTACATTAAAGACAACTTGGACTTAAACTTAATCAATCAAATACTGTTTATGATAAATATACATCATTGAAAATAATTGTTGTTTACAAATTGCTCACATTAATTAGCAATGTTGATTAGGCTTAAATGTAACAAATTGGTATACATGTTACACATTCAATTCGAGTAAAAATAAATTATTTTAATTGTAGTTTAATTATTATTAATTTTGGTTTATTAATTAACACGAAATTTAATATAAATGTGTATTAAAAGCAATAATGAATAATGAATTAACAAAGACTATAATTTAATTAATTTGAGTTTATATTCTGGAGGACCCAAATGTTCCGGAGTATTGGGATTAAAATCTATGCCACCGTTACTGTCGAGCACTATATCATAGTCTTGTGTGGACTGAAGAAATCGGACCAAAACCAGGAACAGGTCAGCGATGGCTAACTTTTCTCCCGGACAGACACGACGGCCCACACCGAAGGGTATGTAGGCTTTGGGACGGGTTGTGATGAACTGTCCTTCACTATTAATAAACCTCTCGGGTTTAAATTCATTGGCATTTTGCCAATCCTTGTCATTACGGCATATGATTCCGTGGTATACAATAACTGTCATATTTTTAGGTATTGTGTATTTATCTAAAACAAAAATAAAAATCCCTAATATAGTTAACTTTCCAAATATTTTTATATTGTGTATTATATAATGTATTAAGATTTAATACCAAGTTTTGTATTAACAATGGCTTTATGTGGGAGTCCTGTGGGCGCAACATTTCTGAATCTCATGGACTCTGCGATGAAAGCCATGACATAATGGCATCGATTCCTGTCCTCATGTGTTGGCATTCGGTCTCCGATTTGGGACTCAATCTCTTGTCTCAACTTCTGCTGCATTTCTGGATAATAGCAAACAAAT